GTGCCGCGATGCCAGAGTTGATCTAAGCAGATCGATTTCTCTCTCTCTACTTACATCTGAGCAGATCGATCTCTCTTTGCCTACTCAGATCTCTCTCGCATCAGATTGATCTCTCTGTTGTTGATGTTGGGCGATGATGATGTTGTTGTTAGTTGATGATGTTGTTGTTGATAATGTTTGTTTGTTTGTTTTTTTTTTTTTTTTTTTTTTTTTTTAATATATAATAAAAGATGTAGAGGATGTTGAATTCGTTGCTGTTCTGTTCGGATTTTTTTATTTTTATTTTTTGGTCCAGAGAATTTTCGGGGTTGGGAAAACCCGATCTCGTTAGAGGGTGGAGACGAGAATGGTGATAGGTTCCCAATCGGGGCCGAGGACGGGGAAATGTTTACCATCAGAGATCAGGGACGGGGAGTGCGATCCCCGCCCCGTCCCGTTCCGTTGTCATTCCTAGTCACAACGTGACTAATCGAGGGCCAATTGTTACTTAAGTCCCCCAAAACATGGGACTGTCAAAAAGGGCACTAAAGTGACAATTCAGAAAGTCAATGATTATTTAAGTCCCCCAATATATGAAACTTCCGTGATTGTATTTATAAAAATAAACGTTTATATACTCATTGTCAAATAAATTTTAAAATTTTGAACAAACATATCCATGAGTTTAATTTTAAACAAACGGGACTCATAAAATTAATAAAGACATGATTTGCATAAGATAATTTATAAAAATAATAAAACAATTTATAACTACTCAAGACATAATATCAATTACCTTAATATCAATTCTTACTTTTTTTTTTCAGTTCTTACTTTTTTTTCCAAGTCTTCCTGATCTCCCAAGACTCTCTTCTTTTTCTACCGATTCCATTGAGTCTTATGCCATCTATTGCTTCGACTCAACACCCTAATCAAGTGTTGATTCAATAGTCTATACCTTAGCTTTCACAGGTGGCAATAACAAAACTCACAGTTGCCTACGTTTCATTATAATTTTTTCTTGGCCCAACTATTTGTATTAATTTCATAGTGTTTTGATTTGGCCCCAACCAAGACATTAATCACATTTTTGGTAAACCAATGCTGCTTTATTCAAATTAGATTACATTTTAGCACATATAACTATGAACTAAATATATATTACTATTATGTTATTATTATTATTGTTATTGTTATTTTTATTATTCTTTTTCTTATTACTATTATTTTATTTGGTATTAATGTGGTGTTAAAATGAATTAAGCACTTAGGGTGTCACAACTTGTTTCCAAATGAGACCTTAATTCTTTTTAAATTTTAGGATACTCCTAACAAAAGGTATTAGTGTAATAATATAATAGCTTAAAGTCGTTAATTATTGCATTTGAAGTTTAAGAAGACAAAGTGCAATTAAATTCTAATTTAATAGGTTTACTGTAATTTACTCAATAAATTATTAAATTTTGATTAATTTTGTTGTTTTTTTTTTGGAGAACAGCTTTAACTTTATAATTTTACACAAGGAAAGTTAACTGTTCATTGATTTTTCATCTCCATAATGCAGCTACAATTACTACAAAAGTTTTTTATATATATATAAATACAAATCATGTTTTAAACGTAAATAGTTATTGTAAAATATTTTTAAAAATCAATAAAAATGAAGAATTTGTTAATAAGTGTTTTTATGAAACTTATTATTAAAAAATACAAAATAATCGTACAGAGTTTTATGTGTAACAAATATCTACAATCAATTACAGTTTAATAATTTTGTAAAGAAATAAGAATGTGATTTATCTTACTGTTTTAATTTTGAATGCGATTTGAATGAGAAGGTGATTCTTTATTTACTATACCAAGTGGAATTAATTTTCTAAACTGATAAGGAATTTGATCCCAATTTCCCTCAAGTAATCTTACATTCCTATATTTGATTAGGGAAATGCTAGGTTTCATGAAAAATTTTCATAAAAATCATCATGAAAACCATCTGCACCGTTAGATCAGGTATGTGTCTCATGATCCAACGGTACAGATGGTTTTCATGACAGTTTTCATGAAACCTAGCAGGACCCATTTGATTATTGTATAAGATTGCTGAATTATCCGGATACTTTAATAAAGATTATCCAACTATCAAATTACTAAGAGTGATCATTCTTGATTTTTAATTTATGCCATTCAAACGTAATTACGGCACTTGGGGCCTTTTGGGAACAAAATAAAAAGTCAGTTTTAACTTTTTATCTATTTTGAGTTACATCACTTCCAACATTTTTATTTATAAAAATACAAAATATATTAAAAAAGTCAAAAAGTTAATTTTTTACCGACTTCCAAAAACACCACTTGTTAACCAAATCAATCAATCAAAAAAAAAAAAAAATGCATAATTTTATCTTCTAAATTCGTAATTGTTACTTCATCATTCATTTGAAATTGTGACTCATGTACATACACACTCATTTATTGTTTTATGATTATTTTTAATAATTTTGTTTCTTTATAAATTTTTTTACTATATTTTTCTAAAAACTATACTTTTCAATGTTTCTAAATTAGAAGTCAATAAATTAATTTTTTTAATAAAAAAATACTTATACAAAATTGTGTTATGGATTAATTCAATATTTTTGTTTTTCATTTATTTACAGCCCGAATTGATTGGGTCATACCACGGGGGATTCTATTTACCCCCAAAAAAATCATTAAGCATTTCCTATTTCTAAGTACACCATTTTCAATTATTTAAAATTTTATATTACTCTGAGTATATCCTATAATTTTTCTTAAGTTACCTTTAATAAACCCAAATAATAAATAATAATCAAATTAAAAAAAAATATTTGAAAAACCTTTCAAACTGATACACAGGAGGCACCGGCAAAGGACTCTATAATTAGAGTCACTATTGACAAGCTTCATCTCCTTGTCTCTGTCTTTTTTGTATCTCTCTCTTCTCCTACTATTTCGCTATAACAATTTGTTGATTACTGTGTTTGACAATTTTATTGCTGGTTTACTATTCTAATTTGTTGATTATTATGGTAGCGTTTGGTAACGTTTACGTTTTTTGTTTATGTTTACAAAAACTACAAACACGTTTGGTTTGAACAAAATGTTTGAAAATTTTTAAAAACATCAATTAAAAAATATGTTTGTTTAGGTCTAAAATATTTGTATTTATTTTTTATTATTTATGATAATGGGATCATACACACTATAATTGAAAAAATAATAATTAAAAAAATAATTGGAACAAAATAATTGAAACAAAATTAATTGATAAAAAAAATTATTAGTCAAATTTTTAAATTTCTGTTTAAAAGTCAACGAAAACTCATTTTTTGAATTTACGTTTTTTCCTTAAATTTATAAACTGAGACAACCATTTATAAACCAAAAAATTATCAAGTAAGTTTTTATGGCAGTTTTTAAAATTTTTGTAAGTATAAACTGAAAACTGAAAACGAAATGGAAATGGTTACCAAACAGTGTATATGCGTTTGACAAAATGCTTGAATGGGAAAACACTCTACTACCTTGCTTGGCTTACATCTTTTATTGAATTTGTTTATATAAATTTTCACAATTTATGTGTATGTGCAAAAAAAAAATACTCAAGAAGAAAATAATAGATAATTTATTTATTTATTAATTTCAGAACAAACGTAAAGTTCAATATAAAGAAAAGGTAAAATGACAGAAAAAAATTATTAAAAAGTGCCGCAAGATATAGCTCATTTTTTGTGTGAAGGATACTAATATGATCATTGAGTTCAAAGATTATCTCTAAGAATTTTTTATTAGAAGCTGTGATGCTGTTTATATGATTATGAAAATCGAAAGATTTAACATCGTAATCGGACATGTGAAAAAATAAAGAAATTAATAATTATATTTTAATTTTTATATGAATACTTACCTCCTCTTTGATGGATTGCTTCAAAAAATTATCTTGATTATTACTTTCATTCATTGTTTGATTGTTCAAACTTTATTTTAGGGTTTAGAATTTCAAAATAATAAAAAACAATGATATTCGTAATAATGGTGAGTTTTGATAGGATGGATTGGAGTTTTGGAGTGAGAAATAAGAAAAAGAACAAGAACAAGAAGAAGAAAACAAAATAACTTTGATCTATTGGGAAAGAAAATGTAGAGATTTGAACAAGAATAATAGATTATGATGTACCATGAAAAAAAAATATTTGAGAGTTTAATATATGTTGCTTTATTGGTAAATTCACATTAAGATATAATAGAAATTAAAATTTATAAATTTAAGTTGGGCATATTGAGATATTTTTTGGGTTCAAATAGAATCCCCCTTGTACCGCCGGCAAAAATTAATTATTCTGGGGCATATATATAAAAATATATATTCAAGGATAAATTACATTTTATCCCTTTATGTTTAGCTATTTTTTTTTTTATTTTGACCTTTCAAATTTATTTTTTTTTCCATTTTAGCCCTTCATGTTTCAAATTTTTTCTACATTACATCTAGGGCTAGTTTGGCATGTTTGAAAAAAACTAAAAAGTCACTATACTATTTAAGTTACATCACCTTATTTAAGTCACATTACCTCTCTAACACATCACTTTAAACCCAACCCAAACCCATATTTCATAAAAATTCAAAAAGTACACTTATTTTGATCATTCCAAACAACTCCCTAATGTTAACTTATGTTTAAAATTAAACAATAAATATCACAATAGTTATTACATAATATAAAAAATATATTATTATATTGAAACTTAAGTTTATGTTAGAAATGTGAGTCATATATAATAAAATATTTTTATCCCATGTAACTAATAATATGCTATTTTTTGTCTAATTTTTAACAGAAATTAACTTTAAGAATGAAGTGAAAAAACTTAAAACATGGCCAAAGTGATAAAAAAAACAAAGTTAAAGGGCAAAATGAAAAAATAGCTAAACGTGAAGGCGCAAAGTGTAATTTACCTATATTGAATGAAAATCTTCGCATTCCCCCTTGTCCCTCTCCTAAGATCTGAATTTGTTAGAGAGAGAGAGAGAGAGAAGAGAGAGATAGAGCGCCTCACTCAATCATGGAGGAGGAGATCTACCGAGTCTTCGTTAACTCTTCGATGGCAAATCCAAAGCCCTAAATTTCACATCACAATCAATACCAGTCCTCTCCATCAAGAACCACATTCGTGAAATCACCAGCATTCCAGTCGACGATCAGAGACTCGTAACTGGCACAAAACAAGTCGAAGATTCATCATCTCTCCTCAAACCCTACTCCTCCAATGGGACTCACTGTTACCCTACGCTTCACCTCCTCCTCTGCCTCCGAGGCGCCGCCACAAATCCGGCCAGAAGAAGACAAACAACTTCGACGCGTGTCATGAACGCCGAGAAGAAGCTGGAGGAGTGGCGGAGGAGGCTGGAGAAGGTTGCGGAGGATCGGATGCGAAGAGAGTAAAGATATGGTAATGCAATAATTGACTTCATTGTTGTTGATGTTATTACTGGCTTAATTTCATATATGCTTGATTAGATATTTCAATAATTTGATGGAACATGATGAAATTTCTTCCCCATTGATTCTGTTTATCTGGAGCTTTGAATCAAATATGCTGTTTTTCGTATCTTGATTGTGTGAAACAACTACACACTTTGACTATTAGTATATATAAATAGCTCAAATGATCCCGAAAGTTCCATTGATATGCCTAATCCAACTATTTGGCTTAGTTCAGTTGAATTTATTTATTTTACTAGAAACAGTTGTTTTGTTAGGAAGGGGAAGAGAAAAGTGGGTGACACTGATAATGACGATATGGATGAGGTATCGATGATGACGAAAAGGAGGACAATCATAAACATTTGTTGAGGTTGAGAAGTCTGTGAGGGAAGGGATTGGGAGTTGTGTGAGGTTGAAGAGGAAGATTGAAGCCGGTGGGGTGAATGGATCGGATGTGAAGAGAGTGAAGATATGGTAAGGGATTTGATTTCATTGTTGTTGATATTTCGATAATTTGATGTGATATGATAAGATTTCTTCAACATTGATTCTGGTTACCCTGTTTTTCTTGATTGTGTGAAACAACTACAAACTTAAATGATTCCGAAATGTCCATTGATATGCTTAATTCAACTTTTTGTCTTAGTTAAGTTGAGAAACAGATTGAAGCAAGAACAACTTATCAAAAAAGAATTGAACTGAAACTTTTTGCATTTGATTTGCAATCTTTTGATTAGTTGATTTGTTAGGATGGTGAAGAGTCAAGTGGGTGATAGTGATAATGACAATATGGATGAGGATGATGTTGATTATGAAGAGGAGGAAAATGATAAATGCTGATTGGGGCCATATATCAGGAGCTTTGAGTGAAAAATGTTTTTTTTTTTTCCTTATGTCGATTGCGTGAAAAAACCTACAAACATTCAACTATTAGTATAAAGAATTAGCTCTAACGAACTCAATAGCTCCATTGATATGCCTAATTCAACCATTGGCTTGGTTCAGTTGAATTTTCTTTACTAGAAACAGAATTGAAGCACCAATAACTTATCAAAGAAAGAATTGAACTGAATTGTTTTGCATATGATTTGGTCATTTTGAGATGATGTGATTGGTTGTTTTGTTAGGAAGGGGAAGAGAAAAGTGGGCGACATTGATAATGACTATATGGATGAGGTATCAATGATGATGAAAAGGAGGAAAATCATAGACATTATTTGAGGCCATATGATTATCTGGTTATCAGTAGCTTTGAGTGAAACTTGTTGTTTTTCTATATAGATTGCATAAAACAGTTACAAACGTATTAGTATAAAGAAATAGCTCAAACGATCCCAAAAGCTTCATTGATATGCCTGATTCGACTATTTGGCTTAGTTAAGTTGAATTTTCTTTACTATAACTAGAAACAGAATTGAAGCAACAATAACATATCAAAATAAAATAAATTGAACTGAATGTTTTTGCATATGATTTTGTCATATTGAGATATTTTGATTGATTGTTTTGTTAGGATGGGGAAGAGAGAAGTGGGTGACAATGATAACGACGATGTGGATGAGGATGATAGTGATGGTGATGAAGAGGAGGAAAATGATGAATCTGTTATTTTAGACAATGGGAATGGGTCGGACTCAAATAAGGAAGCAAAGTGTAGTTTGGGTTCTGTTACCAGTTGGAATCGTGATGGAGAATCTTCTGGTGGAGTTTCTGCTGAGAGTGGTTCTGAGGGAGAGGAGACTGCCATAAGAGGGAGTTCATTTGTGGTTGAAAGTTCTGATGCAGGGATGGTTGGCAGTGAAAGCAATGATGCTGGTGAACCAGCATTAGGGACTCTTGGAGAAAAGGATGGTCCGGAATGGAGGTGTATCTTTATCAGAGGAGACGGTTGTTTCTAAAATTGAAGCTTTTAAAGCTGAGAAGCAAGAATCTAGTGGACCTATGTTTGGTACTCTGCAGGGAACAATTAATCAACCTAATATCTCTAGCATCGGAGATGATGGAGCTTTGGAATGTGGAACGACTGATGCAGATGTTGGCCTTAATTCGGAATCCAAACTAGTTGTTCATGAAGAAACTGTGGTGATGAGCACAGATGTCTCACATGTGGTGAAGCCACTGAATTTTGATGAATTTAATTCAACAGCAGAATTGGAGGTATGCTCATGTTGACCATTTATTTTTTTTGCCCATGCTACGTGTTTTTTTATATATTATGCCAAGCAAATTACTTTTACATGCTTTGCTTTTATCTATTCTATATTTTCTAAAACCTCTGTCCTTCAGTGTAATTTTTTTTTTTTCTTTTCTCAAGCTGTGTTTTGTAATCTCACATTGGAACCACAAGATGCCACTAATAGTTACCTTTCAAATAGATAAACCTTGATAGCTTCAGAGAATACATCATTACTAACTTTTTCATTTTTCTGGGAGAGAGGGGGGTTGGCCCCTTTTTAGGCACTTTTCAACTTATCTCCAAACATTTGTAGTTTTTTCAAAGCATGTTTCATGGACGCATTTGCGTGTCCAAGTTTTTGGTTTGTCTTTCCATGCCTTTATGGCGTTATTTTCAACTTTTCTTTGAATTATTGTTTAGGAAACACCATTTTACATTGAAAGAATACTCATGTATTGTGACTTTGCCATTTGGTATTGAAGGCGTGTTTGGAAAACACTCGGTTGAACATTACATGACATGGTATGGATGAAAGCATGCAATGCATGGCAAATACGCATTTATTATGCTTTTCTTTGCCTTCTTTTGCCTTTCCTTTTATTCAAAGTCTCTGTTGCAAAATTTTCCTTCCCTCAAAAGGTGAAGTATACGGTGGGCAGGATCTGGAAAGTAGATTTCTGCAGTCATTAATTTGAGCAGCACCATTGCTTTGAGTCACTTTACCCCTTCCCCCTTTGTTAAAAGATTGTGACTGATCTTTTTCATGAAGGTGTCAATTGCAATGGATTCTGTGAAAGAATAAGTTTATTACTATCTGTTATGAAACTGGAGTCTCCTCTTGGATCATGTTGTGTTTTTTTTAATAAGGTGCTTCTCTTTGGCTTCATAATGGCTTATGGAGAAAACGAGACATTATAAAATTATGAATTTGCAACCAGGGGGAAAAAATCAGATTGCTTGAACCTTGTCAACGTTATACTTATGATTTTCTATAACAAATTAAGGCTGCTTCTGCTAATTGATGCTTAAGAAGCATAAAATTTTATTTGGCATGATGAATGTATCATTACACCTAGATAGCACAGCATCTTGATCTTTGCTTCAACATTTGTTAGTGTAATATAACTCTACTATAGACAACTATTGACTTTCCTTTGCTTGATTCAGGAATAATTTGCAATGCCACAGTTTTCGAAGTATGAGCCATATGTGTGTGTGTCAATGTGGGTACCATTCATTTTATGTTACTGTCATTAGATTTGAAGAACTTCAGCATTGTTTGAAAAAGAAGTAGCATTTGTCTTAGATGAGCTGCTGGTGATGCTTACTGTATCATGCAAGTGGCACCCTTCAATCTATTGGACCATTTCCAAGTTAAAGATGTGGTGGTTGTTACTAGGGATTCTTGCAGCGGTTACTACTAGCTCATGCTGTGGAATTATAGTGTTCTATAAATTGGTCAATGGAAATAATGGTGTATTAGTACTTTAGGTTATGTTTGATTGTTGGACTATGTTGACTGGCATTATGAGTACAGTGGGATTGAATCATGGGACTGCTATGATGGTTATTAGGTTGGAAATGTCAAATTAATTACGGTTGTTTGTGTATTGTATTGGTGTGGTTGCATTAGTTGTCAGGATTAAATTTATGAAATTACGTAAAAACTCTCATTACATACAAAAAAGCAGCTTTGTTATTTTTGTAAAGTGAGAATATAATAATCTTGAGCCATCTAATTATGTGGGATTAGATTGTGAATCCCACTTCTCTATGGGAATGTTAGTCCCACTCATGGAGCTCTTAGTCCCATATCATTTTGTCACAACCAAACATGATTTTGACTGGGCTTATGGATTAATTAACAATCCAACCTCCTTTCCCAAACCTGCAATCAAACATGGCCTTCCAGTAGAGGGGATAATGGTTTAAGAACTCGCTAATAAAATTGTGGGAGGTAATTCTGCACGGCCACACTGCTTGGTTGAGTTAGTTAAACTGCGTCCAAGCAAGACACATGGCTTGAAGTCTGATTAATGTGTCCAGTCAACGTCAGATCATGTACATAGCCCCCAAGTGAAGGATGGGATTATAATCATCGCTTTTGGGAAAATCGCTAGATAGGGGACACAATCTGCTTATTGCAGGGCAACATGTGCAGGTGGTTGTTAGAAACTTTCAACGGCATACTATGGTAGCATAAGGCATTCAACCTAAGAGAAAAGGTACGCAATATCAAGCATTCTTAGTATTTCATTGAGAGTTTGCACTTGCAGTTTACTAACTAAAGCAAATGAGTGCCCCCGGCTGAACTCCTCTATCGGCAAGGACTCATTATCTTTGGTTGTAGGTTCAGAGAGTTCACGGGAGTTCACAGTGTTGATTCCATTCATTTTCCACACAAAAACACATGCAGTTACAACTTGAGAGATGTCATATATCACTGAAAGAATTTCATCAGTATTTTTTCATGTTTTACATGGATTTATACAGTAGATGATATGTGCAGATGAATTTCATTAGTATTTTTCACATTTTACATGGATTTATACACCAGATGCTACACATAATTACTTCTCTGAATCTAGTATGTTTACGTATAGAGACGTGTTTGTTTTTTTGTATATTATATGGTGAAAAAACTGATGAATTTCATGTTGTGACAAATATGATTTTTCTTCCAACTTACAATCACTATCATGCCTAAATAACAATTATTCAAAACTCTAAACATTTTCCAAATTACCATGAGCAGGGGAGGGTGAATTCCGACAAACCGGGCACGTACCGTTCAAGCGAAGCCACTCATCTATGCAATCGGCATGAAAGCAGTGCTTACACGCCGGTATGCATCGGACCATCTCTTTAGCACGATACTCCGACAAGCAGATCGAACAAGTGTCGTCGTTGGGCCCTGGGAGTCGCCGGCTTTCGCCAAGGACTACTTTGGTGTAGGATTCAATGGTTGATTCATCTAGGCCTGCTATGATGGTGGTGGGTTGTGGTGTTATGGCAGCGGGGTCGGAATTTTGTTGCACAGTGGTGGTGCCGTTACGACGGCGTTGGGTTCCGCCGCTGACGAAGTATATGAAGAATGCAGTGGCAAATGCACATGTGATGGTCGGAACAACGATGGAGAAGCAAATGATTTGGAACACTCGGAGTCTGTTGGCTTTGCCTGGTAATGGAATAGGTTAGTTAATTATGTCCCATTTGGAAACTTGGCTTTTTTAGATTTCTGTCCTTTTTGGTGATAAAAATTTGATGAAAGGAGGTCGGTGCCATTTCAAAAACTCAAAAAGAATTTTTTCCTGTAATTTAGCTATACTTGAAGGGAAAAAATTTGTATAGTACCTAAAAACATGTAATGCATATTCCTACATGTACTTTTTTTTTATTATTTTAATTACTATAATTTTTTTTTAAGGAAGTCAACTTTTTGCCCAAAGTAGTTAAATCAGGTGAATGGCATCATTATTTACACACCATATGACTTTGATTCAGTTGACATTTAAACCGTTTTGTTTATATTATAGTTGAGCCTGTTCTATCATTCTAATAACTGTTACAAGAATATATAAACATTATCTCTTAGTATAGTCAATTACACTAAACAAATCCTTAAAATTGTTGTCATGTGTCATCTGTTCTGTCACTTTACTGACCTTCGCTGCTAAACCAACCATTCACCGATATCTAAAGTCAATCTAAACAAAACAACACTATGCCCCCCAAACATCTTGAGCCAACCACACAATGGCCTTCAATGCTTCCACAATTGTTCCAAATAATGTTACAATCGCATATATATATATATTTATATCAGTATAGTGTTTGATATATCGTGTGAGCTATTACCATTTCATTAGTTAAATAGGTTTGATTATGTTTCTAATGTAGTGGTAACAACTCATATGATAAACCAAATGTGACATAAAAATGTGCTCATTGTAACACTATTGTTCTTCAAATGTTATAAACGAACCTAAGCATCTTAAAATCTTTGTTTCCTTGTACTAATGCATTCTCAGTTTTCAAGAGGTGGCAAACAGTCGGCTTTGAGCAGATCAAGACGAATTATGCATCAAAACAACTCAATCCAAACCCGTTTATTTAGTAAACATTTTGAAGTGGGTTGGGTTAAGTTGAATTTGAGTGCGTGTCAAACAAATCAACCTGACCAATCTATTTATTTTTTTTATTTTTTATGAGGAGGGGGCGGTATGGTAGTTCATGAGTTTCTTGTTTTGTTGCTTATTTCTTATTTAAACCCAATTTTAAATGAGTTCGTAAGATGCGCAACAGTTAAGCCTTTTTATAAATTTAAAAGGGTTTAGACGGGTTTCAAATTGATGAAATTGGTTGTGTTCTGGATTTTGTATTGAGTTTGCTACCTCTACTCTGAATATATGTGGTAAGTATCTCAATACAATTGTGTTGGTTAGAATTTCAAAACACAGAAATCTCAATCATATAACTAAAATTGAATTGAATTTTGGATACAGATAATCCCGTGCCTTATGAAGTTGCAAGCAAGCCAGAGGAATGAATGAAGATAATCAAATGAAGGTTAAGAGAGGTAAGTACCTGTTCCAGGATTATTGATACATACAATTTGTTGGCTTGCATTGTCTTGAAGCCCACACATAGCTCCTTTTGATTCACATTCTTCACAGTTTGGAACATCCCATGTTAACACAAGATCGTCACTAAGATCAGATGAAAAATCATCCTCATCCTGACGCGGATGCGAAACTGGAATTGGCAAAGTCACAAGAATCTCACACACGTTTATTCCCATTGCGAGATTCATCGAACAAGTTGCCAATGTTGTATTTGTCGAATTACTCAAACAATCAATGACAGTGAACCTAGACCTGGTGAACTTGGATGGACATGTCAAAAACGTGTAGTTTAAATAATAAAGGGCCCTGAAAGGCGAGCCTGTAAGATTGAATTCCAAGAGTCGTGTTGGAAGACAGTTGTTTGGGTCGTAGAGTTGAATTTGTTGAGTCAAGTAATTGATATAGCGCACGAAGAATTTTCCAGAGTTAGGAAGGTTTAAAACCGTTGTGCCTTGATTGTTGCAGGTAAGATCAAACCCGGGATAGCCACAAGTTTGTGGTTGTTGTTGGTTTGTTTGGAAAGGGAATCGGATAGTGAAGCTGCTGTTAAAGCAAATGGAAGTCGCACAACTGTTTGTTGCATGAATGAGAGGAGAGAGGAAGAGGAAGAGGAAGAGGAAGAGGAAGAGAAAGAAGAATTTTAATGTATCCATTTGTTTTTCAAAACAAGTGAATCTAGGGATGGTTAGGAATAGTTTTGTTTGTAGGCTATAGAACAATTGTATTTTTTTGAAAGTCAGAAGCTCTCATAGTGATTCTGTGGGCTTTTTTTATTTATTTATTTTATAATGTGGAAATCCCTAAAAAAATATTGATGGAAGACCATTAATTAATATAGAAAAGATATATGTAAATACAGAGAAATATCTAAAAAGTTATTGCGTGGTCTAGATTTAACTCATAGGGCTCGTTTGTTTTTAGAGGTAGAATGGAGGAGATTCATAGTAAGTGAATTGTTAGTGAGGGGATTGATAATGAGGGGATTAAGTAAAATTTTGTTTGTTTTAATGATAGTTGTTGGTGTAGGGATTGTTAAATTAATTCATGTAAAATAATAAAACAAATAAAAAAATATAAAATATTAAACATTAATGTTAAAAAAAATGTCTAACATGTGAAAAATATAAAATAAATAAAACAAATAAAATTATAATTTTTACTTAACAAAAAATATAAAAAATTAAACATTAATGTTAAAAAAAAAATATCCAACATGTAAAAAACTAAAAAAAAACAAATAGTCCAGCAGATTATTTTCTAATATCAAGTCTCAAGCCTCCACCCTAATTTCCTCCACAAGGCTCATCCTAATCCAAATGAGAATATAAATCTGTTCTCCATCTTTCAAAACAAACACAACATTAATGAGTCTCACTACTACTTCCATCTCAATCTCAATCCCCTCTATCTCTCAAAACAAACGGGGCCGCATAGTGTGGGGTCTTACATGTAAAATGAATCAAAGACCCGCAATGATTTTCTTGATATATTTATGTTAATGAGTTCTGTACGCCGGACATTGTGATGATTAATAACTCTAAATTGTTTAAGTCCTTTAGAATTATCGCGTATTCATATATTTTATTGTTTGCCGCACATAACTTTTAAAAAAAAGTGCATTACATTAGCTTATGACCATTAATGATAATTTTTGTGTTTGAATTTGGACAACTCGAGCCTAAGTATAAATTTTTTGAGTTTGCTCAGATTTAAACCAAAGGTCTGCTTCAGGCATATTGCACTTTAAATTAAGCCTAGATAAACTCTTAACCCGCCGGAATTGGAGTACTAATCAACCATCACCACCTTCACGGCCTCATGTTTTTTTTTTAGGGAGAATTACACATTAGTAGGGGATCAGAAAAATATTTATAAAATCATAAGAAAGTTTATAATTTTAATTATTTCTTCATTTTTTGTAAATATTTTTAGGGATTTATGTGTAGGTTTTAATAAGTGAACTTATTTTTCAATACGTCTTATGATAATTAATGGCATTTTTTTATCAAATATTATTAAAAAACGTCATTAATTATTAATTTTCAGTGACAATTCAAAAATTGTCATAAAAATGTCACTAATTATAAGTTTTAGCGATAGTTTAAAAAAATCATCATAAAAAAATTAGTAATTTTTAGTTTTCAGCGAAAATTTTAAAAATTTATCATAAAAAATATTACTAATTATAAATTTTAAGAACAATATATCCAATATTTTTCTGATCCCCCTGATCTGTTATTTCGCATTTTCTATATGAGATTGTAACATATGGGTTGTAGCGACAGATATTATTATATAATATTTGGCCATTCAACACAAACCAATGGTGTGAATTTGTGCACAGTCGATTTTTTATTTATTTATTAATTAAGCAAAATTGAGTCTCCTATCAAACAGGATATTGAATTCTACAAAATTATCAGGAAATTATAAAAAAATTATATTTTATCTTAATTATCTGTGTTTACGTATCACTTGCACTAATTTTTTTGTTTGTATTATCAAAACAGAAAGCAGTATGATTAAAAGTCAAATTTAAAAAGCCTTCTAGTTTAGTTTAGTTTTTAATTTAATTTTTTTTTTCTGTGTTTTTTAAAATTTCATTGTTTATTTTCATCTTTATTGAAATTTATTCAGATTTTTTCACAAATATTTTTATTTTTAAGTACATTTAGATTAAGTACATCTAAAAAATATATATAAATCTCAAAAATAGTTTTTGAGCATTGAAAACTAAACATGGCCTCATTTAGGAACATGTTTTTTTAGTAATTTTTTGAATTTTTGGCTAAAATATGATGTAAAAAATTAATATGTTTGGAATGACTTTTAATTTTTTACGAAAATATGTGCAAAAAATAGAGAAAAAATAGAATCTTTGACTTTTTTTGTATAAGTTGTTGACTTTTTGATTTTTTTAGTGACTTTTTGACTTTTTAGCTAAAAAAGTCACTTGCCAAACGAGGTGCTAAAGGGGATTCTATTTGCAATCAAAAAATAATTTAGTATACCTAATTTCTCAATACTATTTATTAAATTATTTAAGGTTATAATTTACTCTTGACATACCTTTTTTTTTTTTTTCCCCACAAATTCCCCTTCAAAATACAATCAAATAATAAAAAATCAAAAATCCTAAATTACATTACTTTAAAATTGACAACGGAAGACTAGGACAAATTGTGGACAATACCACCTAAGTGGGGACTTTCATTTGAAAGTCTTCACAATATTCTTCCAATCCTTTGCAACCTGGGAAAAAAGGGGCATCATGATTGATATCAGATGCCTAGGATGTTTTGCAGCAAGTGAATCTTTGGAACATGTCATCTTTGAGTTTTTGAAATCGCAGGGAATGTGACGGAGAATACCATTGGGATTAGAAACTCTTCGGTTATTAATCTCTCTTTCTCTCTTTTTCTCGTGTTTTTATTTTTATTTCTGAAAGACTAGAATGAACTGTGGACAATACCACCTTAGTGGGGGACTTTCATTTGAAAATGTCTTCACAATATTCTTCCAATCCTTTGTAACCTGGAAAAAAGAGGCATCATGATTGATATTAGATGCTCGAGATATTTTGCAGCATGTGAATCTTTAGAACATGTCGGCCTTGTTTGGTTTGTGTTTCTCAAAAAATTTTGGAAAAAATTCTCTACAAATAAATTTTCAAAAGTAATCAAACCAAACAAATTTTTTCAAATTTTTTTTTCAAAACTTGTTTGGTTTACAAGTTTTCCAAACAAATCTCTCTCTCATACACATCAAATCAATCACTTTTTTCAAAACTCTCTCTCAAAATAATTTTTCAAAGCATCTTTTAAAAAAAAATCAAACCAAACAAATTTTCGTACTTTTTATCTCAAAACATATTTCTTAAATACAAACCAAACAAACTCGTCATCTTTGAGTGTTTGAAATCGTAGAGAATGTGATAGAGAACACCATTGGGGTTAGAAACTCTGCGTTTATTAATACCCCTCTCTCTCTCTCTCTCTCTCTCTCTTGTGTTTTTATTTTTATTTCCTTTTCTTCTTCTTATTGTTCTTTGAATTGGTATAATGACTATCAATTATTTACTTAGAGGTTTTATTATCATCTATTTTTTAATTTTATTTAAATTTTGTTTTATTCGCAAGTAATAACACAATAAAAAATAATTATATTGATGATAATTGTGAGTTTTAGTGGGGTGAATTAAAGTTTTGGAGTGAGGAAAAAATTGAAAATAAAATAATTGAAACTTGAGAAAGAATATAAAGAAACTTGAATATGAAGAATATGCACAAGTAATTAGAGTGTATATGAGAAAAATAATAATATTTTATTTTAAAATTTAATGTATATTATTCTTATTAGTAAATTTATATTACGATATAATAAAAACAAAATTTTAAAATTTTAGTTGACATACTAAGGTCTTGTTTATCATCCCTTAAAAAAATCAAAAAGTCATTATTCTATTTAAGTAATATCATCTTATTTAAGTCACATTGCCTTTCTACCACATCACTTTAAACCTAACTCATATTTTATAAAAATTTAAAAAATATATTTATTTAGAACATCCCAAACAATCATTGAGTTTCTATTTAGAAATAAATAGGATCACCTAGTGCTAATGGAGCAAGGATCCTCTAGAGTTTTTTTTTCCTAAAGTTTCCTAGAGTGGTGCATTGTGTGGTTGAGATTTAATGACAAGTCACATCAATTTTTCAGCATTAAATCTCAACCACACAATACACTACTTTAGAAAACTTTAGGAAAAAAACACTCTAGAGGATCCTTGGTGGTGCTAATGTGGTCAGTTAATTACTTAGGCTAACTTCAAGCCCATTAATAATTCTATTTTATAAACGGGTTTAAAAAATATCATTTGGCCCAGTCCAGAAAGGCGGTTTGTACGATGATGTTTTCATAATTATGGATTATTTTGGAAAATTGTTTTTTTTATTTTTTTTAAAAAAATGTATAAAAAATTAAAGAGATAATGTGACTTAAAATAGTTTAAAAGTCAAAAATTGGCTCCTCCCTATGTTCCCAAAATATGTATGCCATTGAGTCTCAATATTTATACCATTATTAAAAGTAAATACCTCACTTGGTATCTTTATTTTTTTTTTTCCCTTTTTTTTATTAAGTGACATTCTCTTATTGCGTTAAGTATCAATTTCTCCATTGAAAAATAAAAAATATTTTTTTATCAAGTGACATTCTCTTCTTATTCTAAGTGTCAATTTTTCTATCTAAAAAGAAAAAATTAAAAAGTTTTATTTTATCAAGTGACATTCTCTTCTTACGTTAAGTGTCAATTTCTCTATCTAAAAATAAAAAAGCTTGCTTTTATCAAGTGACATTCTCTTCTTACGCTAAGTGTCAATTTCTCTATAAAAAATAAAAAATAGTAACAGTAATTAAAAGAAGAGTATAAGAATTGAATCTAAGAATATTGACTTAACTTATTAAAAAATACTTTTATTACTTAAAGAATAAAAAAACATATATCATGAATCTAAAATTAAAATTTATATTTTAACCTGGCTCACACCATCAAGGTCTCGTTTGAGAACAAACTATTTTAGTAATTTTTTTAATTTTTTGGTTAAAATACAAGGTAAAAAAAAATTAATCAGTGTGTTTAGTTTCAATTTTCTGAAAACAGAATTTTTTGTTTTTTGTGTTTTTTTGTTTTCAGTAAATATTTTTTAAATTTTAACAATTTTTTTACTTTTTTAGATGCACCTCACTTTGATGTATCTAAAAAGTAAAATATTTGCAAAAAAATATTTCAAAAAATTAATAAATACACAAAAATGCAAAAAATATATTTAATTTTCGTATTTTTTTGTATTTTTGGTATTTAGTGAATTTTTTAAAGATTTTTTTTACGAAAATTATACTTTTTAAGTGTACTTATGTTAAGTGTGTCTAAAAATTAAAAAAATTACTTAAGCTTCATTTGGCATGCCATTTTAGTCACAAAAAGACAAAATAAGCTAAAAAGTCAATAAGA